GATCGGATCACCCAGGATGCATGTTAATACCAGGTGTGAACAGGGCCAAAGTGACCAAAATTGCCCGTTAATGTTAGTTTTAACAAAGAAGTGTTTTTTGTTTTTCTCCAGGAATTTTTGAATGGGCATATATTTTTCACATACATCCACAGATAAGTTGGATGGTATAGTGTTTGCAACCGATTTAATGAGCCACAAATGAGAAGTAGTGCTTAAACAGTATAAAACTATAACTTTCCCTTCTGTTGATAAAAGGCGCAGCCATCTCGGATTCTGAACTTGGGATCCTTTCTGCTGCTCAGAGATATTTCTCGGATCTCCGAGAAACGGGAGCGTGCATGTCGTCACTTTCGGCTTCAAAACGCCGACTTGGAATACGAGTTCCCAGGGCAAATGGAATGCACCAAAACTTTAGACGGCGGGGACCAGCGTGGACATTAGAGGAGCTGCGAAATTACAGCTTCTCGCACAAAAACCCAAACAACCCTATTCTATCTTCTTTTGGCTCCCCCCTAATCAGCACGGGCCTTGGCCAAGGCCTCTGCTGAGCTCAACAACTCCCCCCTGAAGAACAAGGCAGCGAGACTCTCTTGCATTCCTCTCCCCCAACCACAAGGACACCCTACCCCCATCCCACGCCTTCGCCGCTTCATACCCCCAGCGTGAACGAGCGGGTCCTTGTACAGCGCCGTTTGGCTGCAGGAACGGACGGCTGTTTGTCTATGCTGGACTACCTCCACCTCCCCATTCCCCACCCCTGTTGCAAGTCTCGACTTTGGTGTTGTGAGATGTGGTGACTATGTGCTTATTGCTGAGGTGTTTTTTTTTTCTGTTCCTATATTGTACTCCCTACTGGAGTACAGTCTGGGGGCTGTTTTTTTTATTCACCTCCACTCTCCTCGCGTAATCTTGTTTCTCTGAGTTTTCCTATAGTCCCCTGTCTTCCTGACCTGTCTACCCCCTATTTGTGTATGTGATGTTTGTATATGTATGGTCAGGTTGATGGCCAGTTTTTTCGCTGGTACTTGTGACTAGTGACATGGTGTATTGCAACAGCAATAAAGGGTTTCATCAATCAATCAATCAATCAATCAATCAACTGCCCAAAATGGGTTGACAGAGACATTTCAGGGATTTTGAGTCATTCTGCGCTGCAGATGGGTTAATTGCGTTAAAAATTTAAATCAGATTAATCATGATGATGGATTAATCCGCGTTAACCCGTTAATTTTGGCAGCCCTAGTTAATTCTAATAATAACTTGTTTCCTTTGTTTATCTGGCAAAAAAATTCTGATAATTTTTGCCTGGAATTTGTCATTTTTATTACATTTTTATTGGAAAGCACCTCCCTTTTTACAGGTTCTTGATTAATGAGCGATAATTTGGAACAAACTGGCTCATAAAGTTGCCAACCCCCTGTACACGTGTGTCATGGAAGAGATGAGTGGTCCCTCAGAGGACACAGTGTCAGTGAAGAGAGTTCAGCAGCCACAACATCTTTTTTTTTTAAATATTAGGTACTGTGGATAAAAAAATAATCAGAGGTGTGGTGGTACTATTTATTAGTGCTGTAGTTCTCGAGACCGGTCTTGAGACCAATTTTTTGTGGTCTCGGTCTTGTCTTGACCTCAACCCTATTAGGTCTCGGTCTTGTCTTGGTCTCGGACACAGCGGTCTCGATGGGATGGGGGAAAAAAAGAGAAAACAGCACATCCTCACAGAACAGTATCATTATTCATTACGCGCCTCAATTCAAATGCAACCAGTCAGATGCATCTACTTTAAAAACGTTACATTCAGGGGCGGATTAACGCACAGGCTAGATATGGCTTAAGCCTAGGGGCCCCACGTGTGCCAGGCCTGCAAGGGGGCCCCCATTGGCGGGGAGGGGGGCGAGGTTGGGGGGCCCACAGACTACTGTAGCCTAGGGGCCTCTGTGCACCTTAATCCGCCCCTGGTTACATTGTATACATTTTCTCAATGGACACAGTGCTTCACAG